ACACTTTCTTCTAGGGATTTAAAGAATTCTGCAAAGAATTCCATTATATATATTTTCAGGGAAAATCCATAACGAGATAACATAAAATAGTTACGTGTATATGGATACGTACATTATACAATCGCATTCAATAAGATAGATTTCATTGCATAATAGGATAGACAGGGAATGCTGTTCATTCTGGAAGAATCAAGTTGCCTAGATATGCCATACGAAGAGCACCGAGGAGCATCTCTCGGCCCCAAGACATTAACATGTGCTCTCTTCACTTGTACCTGCTGCCAGGCCATTCATAGAAGTTTCTCCTAGGTGCCTTTCTTTGTCCTTCCTCCTACCTCCCAGATCCCACTTTATCATCATTCTTCCTTCCCCATTGCCCCTATTGTATCTTTACTACTTCATCTGATCTATCTAAACCATGTACACACCTTTTTAGCTCAACCAAAGGCATCTATGGCAACACAATTGTTAGGCCATGTGTGCAGCTGAGATTCAAGTAATTATTCTCTTAGAAAAGAAATGTTAGAAGTCAGTAAAAATTATAGAATGCTCTAAATGGAGAGGGAATGTAGGTATTTCCATGTGATTATCACTAACTTTTATAAGTGTATTTCCACAGTTATTTTTCTAATTACTCAGAATTCTAACACAGATAAGGAAAGGATCTTTCAAACATGTCACAATATGCCAAGAACATATTCACACACATGTACACACACACACACAAAGGAAAAAAGATATGTGTGTCAAAAAGGCAAAAAAATAGGAAAGATGATGACAATTATACAAATATGAACATAGTACTGACATGTAGTCCAGGGATAATTATAGAGCTGTAGAATCCATAAAAACGGAATGTTCCAAAAGATAATAAAGTCTGTTTTTTTCTCCTTAAATTCTATAAGCTACTACCCCATATATTTTTTTCCCTCACAGCAAATATCAAAATCTTTTCAAGTTTCACTGCTCAAATGCAATGCACTAGATCACATGCAAAAACAAAAACAGAAAAACCCAGGTCATTTCCAAAGTGATGGCAAGTAATTTATTTAGAAGATTGAACTTAAAAAGTCATTCCAAATTCATAATTTTACCATTGAAAAATTTGGTAGTACAATTGATTTTTCCTAGGATATTAGCAAATTTTCAATGTTAAATTTTAAGGGAAAACCCAAGGAAACACCTTGGAAATGCCTGGGGGGGAAAAGAATGCATGAAAATGCACTGACTTATATTGTGCTATTTCTGTTAAAATTATAGTTTTTCATGGTAATTACTCAACAAAGATAACATTTAAATACAAATATAAATCAAGTTTAAAACAAGGGTAACTGATTTCACAGTTATTAAACCAGAAAAGGTTTTATCAAAACAATAAACAAGGGAGCTTTATAGACAAAAAGTGTATATTTACATGGACCTCCAATTAAAGCTACTGTGTAGTAGATTTAGCAAAATCTCACTTTTGAGTTTCTGGAAAATGTATTTTACAAATTCAAATAGCTAATATAAATCAGGGATTACTTAGAATTAGGTATACATTACATAATTACTAATTTTAAATAAATTACTCATTTCTTAAACAAAGTTATAAATTACAGACCATAATTAAAAAGATTTTTTTATTTTAGTGAAAACAAAAATTTACAGATATTTAATATGAAATATTCACACATGGAATATATCTTTTCTGTGACACTAAGAAAACTTTCAGTGTAAACTACAGCATCATATTTGGAGATAAATCCATGAGTTCTAATTTTTAAAAATCTGTAAGATGATTTGCAACTTTAGAATATCTGATATGCGGTGTGAAAATACTGGTGCAAATCATTATTTATTCTTAAATGCTATGTTTTCATTCATCGAAGATTCCTAAACAAAAGAGTCGGAATTTGGTTCACAGTTTATAAACTTTGCACAGATTTTGTTATGATAACCTGTTACCCACAGAGGAAGTTATCCATAAACAAAAACAATCTGGTGTTTGCTAATTTTATAAAATCCATTGTAAAACTTCCTGGTCTGAAGATTTAAGCAACCAGATATCAATGTGAACCATAACCAGGGAGAGTGAACAATGATAAGTTAACAATATCAGAGAAAGCAGATGATATAGAGTTAACACTCAGTATTAACATGTATAATTAAAGTTTCATTGTTTTTTACATTGCCCAAGTGATCTAGTAACCTAAATTATGGAATTTCTAATTCATCTATGGTTATTGTCAAATTAAGTAATTAAAAATGCAATGCAGTATAGAAAAGACATTTTCCTGTTAATTATAAAGATATTTACAGCTTAATATTTTTTAAACAAATTATTCATTCAAATAAATTCTTACAATCATTTACTGGGTCCTCTGACTATTGATTGACAATTATTTCTGAATTACATAAACGTGTTAATTACCAGCAAGTAAATCTTGTTTTAAGATTTTAAAAGCATTGATAAGTGTAATTATCAAAATGGAGGATTCTCATTTGTGTCTTGGGTTTAAAGTCTAATTTGTGATTTGTAGTGATTCAATATTTTATATAAAAACAAAATGCAACAATTTGCTTTCTTAAGCCTAGAAGATATATGAGATTATAGATATCTTTACAATTACAAATTTTGTTCAGAAATTGGATTTTATTTTATAAACACAATATGTATTCTATGATTTATATTAAGCACAAAGAAATTCAATTATTCACTTTTATTAAAGAAAAAATTATAATGCATTGCAAAATATTTGCTAATGGAAATGCAACAATTTTTGTTTACCTAACCTGTTACTTCACACTGTAGTACAGAATCAATTTTATAAAGGCAAAATTTTGATCTAGTGTGAAATTAGCAACATGGTTTAATTCAAAAAGTCAAAAGATTTATAGGGGTAATATTTCCAATTCAAACAGAATTTTGCTGGGTTTTAATTTTTCCACAGAGCACTGAAATAAATAATTTTTTAAGCTTGGGTTTAAGATGTTTAAATGGCTTCAAGTATTCTACAGATACAGATTTTTGTACAACACTGAATTCTTTCCAAAAAACAGTTAATTTTAAGTTTTGTTTTACTCTATGGTAAAAATTCTTGGAGACTTTTTTTTCCTGACAAAATCTCATTTTCACCTGAAATAATTGTATTCAGGTTTTCTCAGCAGGTAAAGTATAAATTCTTACAAGGTTTCAAATTTCAGAATTCCAATAATGCATTTAAACTGAGCACCCACCAAATCACTTTCTCTTCTCTTTGTGCCTATTATCTTGCTGTTCTATTATTTACACTGAATTTTAGTCTTTTTAGGTCCCCAGAAATACCTTAGTGAACCCTCAGCAGTTGCTAACCACTTAATAATTGTGAACCCGCCAGCCCCTTCAAGTAGATCGTTAACCACAAGAGTGCCTGACAATTTCCAAATAGTATCCTCTGTCCAAAAGGAAAAGATAGGGCTTTGTGAGGCCGAAAGGAAGCGAAGGAAAACAAAACAAATGTAGCTCATTTTGAAAGTGAAAAGTGCTTGGACAGATTAGTATTTTCTGCAAGGCGTCCTGCCAAACTTTTTTTTTTAATAGAGAAGAGTTATTTTTTGGTCTGATTTATCAGTTTCTTGGAAAGTGTGGGTATTTACCATCTCCACTGGCCTCTCGTAATTATTGTTGGTTGTTTTGTGTTTTTCCCTCCGTCCACATCACAGACTGCTGATACCCCCGCCTCACTCTGTCAAAACCCCAACTGTGGGCGACCCTGGGTTTGGAAACTCTGCCGACTCCCGACGTCTCATCCCACTCTCCCTCTGACGGCTCTTACTTTAGTCGCAAGAACCCCCCACTCCAATCGCAGTGAAAGCCGGAAATTTTCATTTAACTCCCCCCCCCCTCCGACTCGCCCCCCAATTGGAGCCGAGAGCTGGGGAGCTGGGAGGCTCAGAGCACAGCCGGGTCTCGGCCGCCTCCCCTCTCTCCGGAAGGCTTTAATTTGCACACTTGCTTGCTACTGCACCGCGAATCCCCAACCCCGCCGCCGGGTGGGTCTCGGACAGAGTTGGTCTCCCCGGCCTCCGCCCCCGTCCCTTGCCGCCTCCCCGGCTCGGCCCCGAGCCTCGGCCAGAGCCCCGCAGCCCTGGTCCGCCCCCAGCGAGCCGCGCGGGCGGCGCCCTCCGCGGTCCCTCCGCCCTCCGCCGCTGTGCCCACCCCCTTGCCAGAGAGAGTGCTGGTGACTCCTTCCTCCAAGCCGGGTTACCTGCTCCGCGTCGCGGTGGACACGTGCGGACACCAGACTGACACTTGCAGCCCCCTCCGGAGGCCGGGCGAGGCCAGGACCCTCAGGTGAGGAGCTGTGCACTCGGGTGGGAGGGCTGCAGGGTAGGGTGGGGGGGTCCCTGGGGAGATTGGGGGGGGCTTGGCTAGGGTCGGAAGTGAGGGTGTGGGTGTGGGTAGATTGTTGTGGGGTATGTCCTCAGAATCCGCTTAGGTTAACCCCTTACTAACCGAGGCGGGGTAGTTACGGGGGCCAGTGTGGGGGAACTAAAGGAGTCTCTTCTAATCTGGCAAGAGGACATACCACACTAGGGACGCCCCCAACACAGAGATCCTGTGCCTGCTCCCTCACAACCTGCGCACAAACACCTACATAAATAAGCAAGCACTCCTCATCCATTTTCTTCAAACGGAATTTAAACTCCACTCGGACACTCACACAGTAATCCACATTTAGGGTTGGAAATGGGGGGACTTAGTCCGGGACAGTGTGTTTCCGTGCCCCATCTTGATTTCCCCACGAGAGCTCCCTCTCCAGCTCGCTGAGATGTGGGTGTGGGTGTGGGCTCCACCTTCCCACCACGAGATACGAGATAAAGGTTAACGCAGGCTCCTTGCTGGCAACCCCTGCGGGCGTGTAGAAGAGTGCACGCAGGCTGCCAGTGCCCAGGTTTTGGAGCCCGGTTAAGGACTCACGTTTGCTTTGGTTTCCCAGTTTACTTTTATAATTGAAAATATCGGCGTTAAAACACACCCCGCAGTGAGCAGCTCCCGCCCCGCAGCGTGCCGGCCAGTGTGCACGTGGGCGCATCTGCGTGTGCGCACACGCGGGAGCCCTGGTCCCCGGTGCGGCCTCTTGTCGCTGCGCTAGCGGCGACCCTTGCGGTGCTTGGCAGGCTTCGGGAGAGGCACATGAAGGATTTCATTGAGTGTGAAGACAGAGAGCAGACACAGAAAGCAGAAGGAGGCGGCTGTAGTCTTTGTAGTCGCAGAGGAATGCGGAAATGTTGAAGCACTATGTCAAACTTTTTTGAAATGGGGTCAAGTCACATTCAGCCAGCGTGGGAAAGCAACAACAACAACAACAAAAAAAAGTGGAGGGTGGGGGAAGGCACTGCTGCTCCCGTTTCTCTCCGCCGGAGCCGAAGGTCCGGGGAGCGAGAGGGGAGAGCCTGCGCAGACTGTGCGGGGCCGGGTTGGGGCAGCGGGCGCAGTTCCCTGCGGGGGTGGGACGTCCACGACGCTTCCTTCGCTGCAGAGCCTCGGGCTGGAAGGGAGGAGGGGAGGGGGTACGCGGAGGGGGCTGCGCTACTGGCGATGGCTCCTCCGCTACCTGTGTGGCCCTCGGCCTGGCTTAGACCCCCGGGCAGGCTCTGGGGGCTCGTTCTTCGCCCCCCCCCATTCACCTTCACCTTTTAAGGAGAGTTTTGAATGGAGTGTGAGGGTGTCTGCCCTCGCTGCGGTCCCCTCCGCCCTCACACCGTGAGGGTCGCGCCATTTGTTTCTTTAATTCCTGGAAAAAGGCGAGTGGGCCCGCGGTTGCGGGGCAGGTAATTCCGAGGTGCCCCGGGAATTCTGGACACGCGGCCGGCGTGGCAAACGTCCCGCCGAGGCCGCGGCGGCCGTGGGTTGGAGGATTCCTGGGTCTTGGATCGCAAGTGAATGGGGAGGGAAGGTGACCCCCAACCCCGCACTTTGTTTTGCGGAGGACTGGAGATGGGGGTGGGGGGTGGGGAGCGACTGGCTGCAGACTGCACCAGGCCTTAAGCCGAAAGGGGAATGGAAACCTCTGCTACCTACATCGGAGAAGATCCTGGGAGTAGGGAAAGATTCGCGAGTCCCCGCCCCGAGGGCGCAGCCCCTTCTCTCTCACCCCCGGAGCGGCTCGGCATTTACTCCCCTACTCCCACTCTTTTTCAAGGGGTGGTTGAGTTTTGCTCAGGTTGAAATCGGTTGAAAATTTCAGGGCGAGTCACGGTTATGTTACCTTTCAACTCAAGTTATTCTTTAAAGAGACCACAAGCTAAAATGTGGCGAACACCCCTTTCTCCCACCCTTAGGGTCGCGTGGGGTACTCCCTGCCCCCACTGCTCACCCACCACCGAGTAGCGGGAACCCCAGCCCTCCCCAACCTGATGGGTTTCTACCAGGGAGGTCCTCAGAGTTTGAGGAAGAATTCCGTTTCCAACTCAGACTCCTTTACCCCCTAAAAGACCATTTGTGTGTGCAAGTCGTTTTTAAATGTATCCTCGTAGAAAAACTGAAAGTAGAAAGGAAGCAATTTCCGAGCAGATGTCTGACCACCCCTTCTCGCACACTCCCAGCATCGGGTTACAGGGTCCTGGGAGCCCCCACCCACATTCTGCGGCCCCACACGGGTGGACTCACAGTCCTTCCACAGCAGTGTGTGCGCGACCCCTGAACGCCCCTCGGCACCCCGGGAGCCCCTCTCCCTGCGCGTCCAGGCCCCGGGAGGGTAGCAGCACTACACAATGATATAGGAATAAATATTAAGCCGTGACATTGACGTGCCCGGCGCCTCCCCTCCCCCGCGCTCCCGGCACACTCTGGGCTGCTCCGCACGCCCCCTCCCGTTCCACTGCGTCCCGCGCCGCGCGTTCTTCCCGGAGGGGCCCCTGCAACCTCTCCGCGCGAAGACTGCTCCAAGCCCTGCAGGGAAAGAAAAGTAACTTAGCTTTTCTCGGAGGAACCAGGAAGGATTAAGCGGCCTGGGAGAGGGCAGGAGCGCGCGGAGGGTAGCAACAGGGGCTTCGTGAAAGAGGAGGAGGGGAGTCTGCAGGAACCCCGAGGAAGGCGCCTGGGATGTCTGATTGCACTTTCTTCTTGTCCTCCCTTCTCCTCTTTTAGGTGGAATGATTGTGGACTGAGACTCGCTGGGGCAGAGACTATGTAATCGCCTCGGTGTCTGTGCAGAGGTCTGCGCTTCGGGGAGGGAAGAGGAGGGATCGGCTGGCTCTTCGGCGATTCGGCAGGCGGAGTTTCGCGGCAGAACCAGTTGTGCCCGCCCGCGGAGAGGTCGCTCCATCCAGCCCCGGCGGCCGCGAGAGCCCGAGCGTCGGAGCGCGGTAGTCGGCGGGGGTGAGGGAGAGCGAGACCGAGCTCCTGGGAGCGAGGGAGCGGCGGGGGAGTCCCGGAGCCGGCGAGTGGCGGCCGCGAGCGAGCAGAGCACGCCCCCCGCCCTCCCTAGCGGCGCCGCGCCGGGCGGCGTCCGAGCGGTATGGAGAAGGACGGCCTGAGCCGCGCCGACCAGCAGTACGAATGCGTGGCGGAGATCGGGGAGGGAGCCTATGGTAAGGTGTTCAAGGCCCGGGACCTGAAGAACGGAGGTCGTTTCGTGGCGCTCAAACGCGTGCGGGTGCAGACGGGCGAGGAGGGCATGCCGCTCTCCACCATCCGCGAGGTGGCGGTGCTGAGGCACCTGGAGACCTTCGAGCACCCCAACGTGGTCAGGTGAGCTGGGGAGTCGTGCGCCAGGGGAGGGCGGTCCCGGGATCCACGGGCCCAGGACGGTGTCGGACAGGAGGGCAGCTGGCTGGGGAGGCGCGACCCATTGATCTTACAGAGGGAGAGTAAGTTTTGTCGACAGAGCCACGATCCCGAGCCGGTGACCTTGAAAGACAGGGAGCCAAAAGACAAGTCAGAAAATGGGACCTGCGCAGGCTTCCTTCCCTGCTGACCCTGAAAAGGGGTCTGGGAAGTTGGGTGCCTTGCAATGACAGAACAAGCCAACCTGAGACACTCTCTGCCAGACCTCGCAGATTTTCCCTGGAGGTTGGGGAATTTTTGAGAGACTGAGCATAAGTGAGAGATAGCAGGAAGTGGTGATAATTAGAAGGAACAGAACTTTACTGGTAGAGCCTGATATAAATCAGGTTTAAAATAATGCAGAAACTTAAGAATATTTTTGCCAGTCATACCCACAAGTTTCTCTTTATTAAAGTTGCATAATGATAAGCAGGATTCCTGATAGTCTAAGGACTTAAGTACTGATGCTCATTTTCCAACAGTGTCGCTTAAAATTTTTATTCTAGAAATGTTGCCTATCGGTCTGTATTACTTTATGTCTCTGGGCCAGCATAGTGCTTGGACTACTTCTCCAAAGGGCTAAATGTGAGTCCAAGATATGGAATGTTTAGATTCTAAATGCTCTGCCCTTGCTGTGCTTGGAGGGTTGTGCAAGTGGATGGGGAGACAGCATGTTATTAAAACCTCTCCTGTGTGGTAACCAGTATTAAAAGTGTGTGCGATTTAGGATAATGGTGTTTTTTTTAGTGATCCTGGAATTTCCCCATTGTGTGGTTGACACTGTGTGTTGTGTTGTCCTTTTATTTTCTAAACAGATGCATAGTTTTAAGTCGGAAGGGAATGCACAGAAACGTCTACAAATTACAGTGTGATTTTACCTTTCTCAACTAATTAAGATAATGTGTTGGAAAAAAGGAGGTTTTGGGGTCTTCCGTCTTCTCATCCATCTAGAGATTCTGCTCAACAAATACATGCCTACTGTGTGCGCTGTGGATGAAATTATGTAAATAAGCAGGGCTAAATATTTTTGTAACAAGTCAAACAATTTAACGTTAGTCATCAAAGTGGAGAGACCCAAGACTGACCTTTGAAATACCAAGTCCTCTACAGACTCAGGGAGCCCAAGTGTCTACAGAATCTTCCTGGGAGGTTTAAACTTGTCTCCTCTTATCCCAGGCTGGGTGATTTGTGTGGTGCTTTGTTCCTGACACAGTTAGTCTCAGGCTGGAGGGCAGCAAAGAATCATAAATACATAAATAAAGTAGTAAATGGCTATAAAGATAAGGGCCCCATTATACCTCTACTTTAGCCATGAAGCAGAGACATACAAAAGATAATGAGATTGGGAGAATGAGTTAGGAAGATGGAATCATATATAAAAGCAATAGATTACCTTTTGTGTGTGTGTGTGTGTGTGTGTGTGTGTGTGTGTGTGTGTGTGTGTGTGTTGAACAACAGAAACCCTATTGGGGAATCTTTGTGATGTTGGAGGAAAAAGGGGGGTACATTTCGTCCCCTGTAACTTAGTTATCTTCTTAGAGGAATCATCTAGGTGCTTCCCAAAGGATGAATTAATTCCACCACTAAAATTTTAGGGCCAACACTCTTGTTTTATTTTGTCTATTACCTATGGATGATTATCATGTTTATAAATAAAATGCTGTCCTTTCAATGTGGAGGTGTTTTAGAGTCACCCCTGTGTAACACTACCCTTTACAAAGCACAGTCTGTTCTTGTAACAGAGGAAAGTTTTTGCCATCATGCTGATAGATTTTTGCTATCCCATCTTATTCTCTTGATTTATCCCTTGAGATTGGTGTGGCTTTAGAGATTTTTTAACCGACCCATGACTTGGATTCTGTACTGAGAAATTTCAGGAGGCTATACTTAAGGATTGAAGAAAAAAAGGGCCATTTTCTAAAATTATTTTTACATGTTAAGTCTTAATGATGACACCTACCTCTTAAGAGTGTGGGGAGAAACTGAGATAGTATATATGAGAGCACTTTGTCAATTTAAAAGTGCTTTAGATGTCCAAGAATTATTTGTGTTCAGGCAGATTACTGGGGCCCTTCAGAGTGAGTTGTGAGTAAGGCATCAGTTTGAGTGATCTTTTCTATAGAACAAATCATACTCAAACCCAGATATTATGGCCTCTGAAACCAAGAAGCTACTTGAAAATAATGAGCCCGTAGTTTATCAGAAAAGTCAAATGCCATGGAGTTCAGTTACACTTGAGAAAATTACTAATGACGTCATCCTCACGAGCTACAGATCTCCATTCCAGTTTGTTTCCTTCCCGTTACTTTTCTTCTACCTCTGCCGTGGGGCAATCATAGGCCCCCATGATTTGCTTGGCTAGATTAGGAGTTCTGAATTTCAGATGTTGCTGATATTTGCTCAGGCAGGGCCAGGATATAAAGGTCAGGGGACAACAATTCTTTTCCTTCCAAGGGAAAGTTGTCAAAGTTGGGCCTCCAAACCTGTCATTTATTGTTGCCCCAGAGGATCAGTGTTACAGTGATGGTTCTTTAAAGGTTTCTTAAAAGGGCAGGTGCCTTTATAAGCGCCTTCAAGTCGTAAGTAATTGATCATAATTATAGGTCCTTCCCATAGATAGTTAAGCCTCTGAACTTGAAGGAGCATAATAAACACATTAGTTTTTCAAAAGTTTAAGATTTAATTTTGATGGATTTGCCAGAAAAGCTGACTTGTCATTGCTGGCACTCGCACCACTGCATGCACGGGGATAATGACGTGAAATTCTTGCTTACCTGCGCTTGATGGATCCCAGGATTCCAGGCTTGGGCTTGATCAGTGTCTGGGATGTTAATTGACTCGTATTTTACAGTTGATAATTCCAGATCCTGGACCCTTTGCCAGAATTAGACTTCAGGATGAACTTATATTGGAGCTTCTGCGCTGTACGAATGAATTCTGTTTTATATTCTGAACTAAATATATATAGGTACATAAAATAGTAATATGTTTTATCAGCAATCTGTTCATTCACCAAATATTTATTGAGGGCTTACTATGTGCCAGACACTGTGAGAAGCTGGGATACAATAGTGAAAAAGTGAGAAAAAGTACACTTCTAGAACTTACCTTGTAATGGGATAACAGTTTTTTTCTTTTTAAAAATTCACTTCTCTTTATTTCCATTGGCTTGTTTTGCTGTATTTAACCTAACCAGTATTATAGAGCAACTAATATTTGTGATAATTTGGTTACCAGGAGTTTGCTGATTGAATAGGTAAAATAACCAAAACACTATAAGCAGAATCAAATGCATTTTGAAGATTAAATTTCACCTTAGAGATGTACAAATCGATCTATATAAGAAGACATTGACACATAACTAATATATATGAACATCTGAACTCCATTTATTCAACAAGGATTTAGGAAGTACCTACTATTTAAAAACAAAGGGGCTAGGTGCTGGAAAAGATACTTGGGTAAATCACACTTGGTTCCTCCCCTCCAGTAATTCTTCCTCCCATCCCCCCACCTCACCCCCCACCCACGTGTTTGAAGAAATAAAATGATCACCATAACCTGATACTGAGAATATTGTGTCGTTACAAAGATCCTAGTAAGCGCTACCAGCATTGTCCCCAGGGGTCAAATTTGTTCCTGTAGCAGTAAAAGTAATTCAAATTCAAGTACTGGTCCTAGAAACTAAAACTCATAGCATTTCAATGAATAAACTGTGATGTTTAAATACATTCAATTATTATTATTAGCATATTTAATCACTGTTTTAAAACAAGCCAACAGAAAAATCCCCCAACCTAATGATGATTATTCAAGGAGAGTTTTAGTAGTATATATTATTCTAAAGATCTTAGTAGTATATATTATTAAAAAAAAATCAAAATCATGATTTTCTCTAGGAAAACCTAATCATTAACAGAGTAGAAGCATCTATTATTTGATGCAGCATAAAAAGCCAAGTCCTCATGGGGTTTGTTTGGTTCATGGGAATCCTGAATAAAAGTGTTATTTTATAAGTGAATATTATGTTTATTGGAGCTTATTTCAGTGACAGCAGGAGTTTAATTCTTTTTTTAAGATTCAGCATGTGAAAAGTACGTTTGGTCCTTCATTCTCTAAGAGTTCCTTGAAAAGTTTCCAATTTATCAAGGTTATTTAGTAAATAAATATTTTCACAATGATGTTCTACCCATTCCTGTTTCTGCAGCAGTATTTGGTAATACTGAATTGTTGACACTGCACTTCTATTATTTTTATACAACTTTTATCACCATGGAATTATTAGGATTTGTTAAGGAGACAATGGCGTTACAAGAGGGAAACTTGTATAAACTTGAATATCTAGTGGTATAGATTTTCCAGTGTTTTAGGCATGGGAAAATGAATATCTATGAAAACAGACTCCTTGTTAAAAGTAAATTATCTTTTTTTAAAGAAAATGTGCCTCGCTATTATTCCCTAAGGTTTTGTTTTTGTTTTTTTTTAGAACAAGACATCCAATTCCTGTACTATGTCATTGTAAATTCATGGATATTAGGGTTGGAAGATAGGCTGGAAATCTTTTAGCCCTTTTAGGTTACAGAGAAACTAAAGCCCAGAGGTCAAGCAACTTGTCTATCATGCTATTTTGAAGCTGTTGACTTGTTTTAAAAGCTGAGTAGCAATTTTTAAAAAATTCTTTTTGATTGTGTGATGGAAGAAGTTAAATTGAGTACATTTCTAGTTTGGAAAAAATGAACTACATGTAGACAAAGGTGATGGTTTGCCAGGAATAAATGACATACCAATTCAGGAAATTCCTGAATTCTGCAGTATACCCTACTGAAGTCTATCTGTAAAAAGAATGATTATTCATTAAATTCTGTTTTTAAAGAATTTGGGTAATACCTATCATCTTTTAAATAGCTATAGTTAAATAATAAAAGTAAATCATGTAAAATATTTAAGTAATAATATTGACTTCATTTTACACAAAGGACAATAGGAAAAATCTAAACACTTGGTACTCGTCTGATGAATGAACTATTACA